TTCTCCTTTTAGTCCTTGGTGGTGATCTCGGAGCTGGTGTCCACCGCCGCGTCCGACACTGGGGCGCGCAGGTGACCCGGTACAGCGGACGGACGGCAAAGACAGCGCGAGCTCGGGGACTCTGGCGAGAGAGTCCGCGGCGGCGGCGGAGGAGGTGCTCGGCGGAGGTGGCTGCAGCGAGGGGAACCCGGGAACGATGCAAAGATGGCTTTTCAGAGCAGCCAGTCTTGTACTTGTAACCAACAGTTTGGAAGTTCAAGTCCACCTAGAGGTGCCTATTTATTTTCAAAAGCAAAGCAGCCTTTAAAGTCCTGTGAAGCACAGTTCTACTCTGACACACATGGGGTCACCCCTCGCAAAATTGACCAGCTGGTAAAGGGTTTTGCTTTTTTATACCTAAAAGCATCCTCACACCAAGCCTGGTGCCTAATTTAGTCTTTCGACACTAATAATTCTTTCTTCCACCACTGTACGTCCTTGAGAACTAAATAGTCACATGCCAAAGGTCACATAAATAGCAAGAACATATACTTGATCTTAGCCAAAAGGCCGAGAAGCAATGATAAATAACAAGAACATAAATTTGAATTTGAAAGCATATCTTTCTGATACCAGGGTCCCTGATTAGTGTAATTCCATTCCACCAATGGAACAGTGGGATTTCCAAGGAAGAGCCAAGATCGGGTTTGAGTAAGTTCTCTGGAAAGCGCAGTCCCGAAGGAGGAGAGCAGCTCGTAGGCAGGAGAGCAAGACGAAATGTCTGGGTCAAGTCCACACACATCCCGGTAAGGAGAAGTAAGGGTGAGTCATGAGCACATGATGCAATGTTTAGAATTCTATGTGCTGGAAAAATGTAGTGATCATCATAGCTATTTGGTGAGGCAGTTGACTAAGTAAAGAAATTCACATATTCTTTATACAGATTCACATGATGTAACAGTAATTGCGAGAGTTAAATAAATGCAATCTGATTTAAAAATTCACTTATAAGTATGTTGCCTAGTTATTCTCTTTGAAATTAATTGCACGTAGGATGGTTTGGTTGCTCAAAAAGGCCTTGGAAGTTGCTCTCATGACGAACTCGCACCGTCAGGTAGCAGAAGGCATGCAATTACTTACCTTTGCCCAAAGAGTCAGCTGATCAAGCTGGAAAGTTCTGAGTAGATTTTAAAATATATAATAATAATAAGTATTTTTCTCATCAGCGCTAGACACTCCCTGGTCTGACAGGGGCCAAGTACCTCTGGCAGGATAGATTTTTTTTGGGTGGGGGGGCTCTTGCTTCATAGGGGTACATTTCTGCTGTTCCCCAGGATGGGAACTTTATAGGACTCGAAGATTTTCAAACCAAAGCCAAACGTCTCCTTTCCTTCCATTAAGAAACATCTTTGCACTTAGTCTGCACACTGAACTAGCGCTCTCACTTGTTCTAACCCCTCCCCTAAGACACACAATGCCTGAGGATATTAAAACAGTCTGTCCTCCAGGCAGTTTATCTTGTCTTCTCCTTGATGGCTTTTGTCTCTCTTGTCATTTGGCCTGTGGAAGTCTTATTCTTTCCATTGTATCTGGACATGTCTGTATCCATTCAGGATGCAAACGCTCTTTGAGGACCCGTTCTGGGTTTAAACTTACTCACTGCTATGAAGCCACTTCTGACTCATACCAACCCTGTCGGACAGAGTAGAACTGTCCCATGGGGTTTCCAAGGCTGTACATATTTGTGAGAGCAGAAATCCCTACGTTCCTCCCCCGGAGTGGCTGGTGGTTTTGAACAGTAGACCTTGTCGTTAGCAGCCCAGCAGGGTTAATCATAGGCAGCTTCAGCTGCAAAAGCAGGGGTGCCTTCCCTGAACAGGACAGTCACAACCCAACTCTGCAGATCTTACCTTCAGCGCTGGAGGCCCAGCCACCGAGCATCACTGTTCCGTTGAATACTCACAGTTGTTCTGTGAGTCAAAGAAACTTTACACTTGAGCCATTTCTACGTTAACATGTCTGGGTCACTTCATCACCCCACCCTTCTCATTTCCTCTTGCAGATAAACCTCAGTTCACTCCCACCAGTGAGAAGAGGCACATCTATTTCCAGAGGCTCCATCAGGCTAGCCGCTTTCTCTTCCCTGGGCAAGGCAGCCTTGGATACCAGGGGTGTCTCCATGGATCTACCTTATTACCACGGCCCTTTGACCAAGAGAGATTGTGAGATTTTGTTGCTCAGGGAAGGGGAGGATGGCACCTTCCTGCTGAGGGACAGCGAGTCGGTTCCAGGAGCCCTGTGCCTCTGTGTCTCGTGAGTAATATCATCATCCACATGTTTGAAAGTTTACATCGTCTGTAGTAATGGCAAACAAATATAAAAGGAATTGTATTTCACGCTGACTCTGCTGTCTAAATGAGGGGAGTGGGGACTGGGAGAGTAAATATCTATACGCTTTATCTGCTCTCTCCCCCTGGTATAAATGCCACCCAAACAGGCCCTTTGGACTCACTGTAGTGGGGGCAAGGGGAGGGATTCAGGAGCACAGAAGGTGAGGGCAAGTGGAGAGGTGGTAGAAATGTGTGAAATGCCCCCTTCTCCAGCCAGAATCCTGTTTATTTGGTATAGAGCAAGTAGAGGTCCTTTTGATGGTACAACCTGAGAAACCAAGATTTTATGGGTATTAAGTGACTTCCACTTGCAATATTTAAAATAATAGTAATAATAGTTCACATTTTTATTTAGGGCTCCAATATATATCATCTCCTTTAATACTTCCTGTGATTAAGGCAAGCATAAGCAGCCATCATTTTATAAGTGAGGAGGCAGAGACCTGAGTCTCTCCAATGACTTGCTCATGTTAGAAACAAAGCAAATCTGCTTTCTGCAGAGTCTAAAATGAGTATGGAACTCTAGGCCAGGGACCAGAGTTGGTTTGCTGAAGGAATTTGCTTGTGCTCAGTTTCAAAAGCCATCCCAGTCATTATCTTTTGTAGTCTTTCTTCGTAGAAACCACTGCAGCGTTTCCTCTATTTCTGAAAGTAATTGAAATCGAAGTGTCTCTATGGGAGCTGTGCCAAGAAAAGTCATTGTCATTCTTGATAGAATGGTTGTTGTTGTTGTCCTGAACCATCCTCACAATAGTGGTCGTATCTGAGTCACTGGTACAGTCCCAAGCATCGTATTGCTCGTCTGATCCTCTATTTTAACACACATGATGTGCTGCTACAGGGACTGATGCCTCTGATAGCATGTCCAAAGTTTCTGAGATGAACTTTTGAGATCCTCACTTTCGGCCGTATGATATTTCTTGCAAGACAGATTTATTCTTCTGGCTGTCCATTTTCAATTGTCTTCCTCAACACTATGATTCAATATAATTCAACATAATGCAAATGAATCCATTCTTTTGCCTTCTTTATTCACCAGCAATCTTTTGCATGCATATGAAAATACTGAAACTGCTATGGCATAGGTGAGCTATGTTCAAAGTGACAGGTTTGCTTTTCAACAATGTCAAGAGGTCTTTTGCAGCTGATTTGTCCAATGCAATACATCATTTGATTTCAAGACTGCTGTTTGATTATGGATCCAAGTAGAATAAATCCTTGACAACTTTAAATCCTTTCTCTGTCTATCATGATGTTATTTATTGGCTCAGATTTAAAGATTTTTGTTTTCCTAATGTTGGGGTGTAATCCATATTGAACACGATAGTTTTTTTTTATTTTTACTTTATCAGTCAGTGCTTTAATCCCTCTTCACGTTCACAAGCAAGGATAAGCAAAGGATAAGAAAATGTGTTACCTGCATATCAGAGGCTGTTTGTAAGTCTTCTTCTGATCTTGACGGCATATTCTTCTTCATATAATCCAGTTTCTCAAATTATTTGCTCAATATAAAGATTGAATAAGTATGGTGAAAGATATAGTGTTACACACACCTTCCTGATTTTAAACTGTGCAGTCTCTTTTTGTTTTGTTAAAATGATGGCCTTTTGATCTGCAGAATAAGTGTTCCAGAATCCCTATTATTTGTAATGTTATCCATAATTTGATAGACTAGACAGAGATATGTTTCTTTCTTTAACTAGTGCTGGTGTTAACAGTATCAGAAAGATAGCCTTAAGATGCTGTCAATTTGCATTTTAAATTACAAGTGAGTTGGGCATATTTTATACATTTTTAGCCATTAGCAGTTCCTTGTATGAGAATTACATATTCATATTCTTTGCCTATTTTTAGTTTTAGTTGTTTATCTTCCTTTTACTGATTTTTGCCAAATTCAGCATATGATGGTAGAACATTTTCCCCCCAAATGTCACACACACAGGAAAACTATAGACTGGTTTCATTTAATATACTTTTAAAACAAACTATTAACAAATAGAAGCCCATTAAAGGGAAAACACACCATGATCAAGAGTGAACAACAATGAATTGGAACCCTATTAGGAAAACTGCTTTAAATTACTGTGAGTTCTTGATTCATTATTAATTTAACTGATTATTAAATGTATTGACATTCACAGATCAATAATTACAAATTATAGCATTCACTCAAATTTAACGAAGAGATATTAGATAAAAGTAAACATCCGCCCCTCAACTACACACACACACACACACACACACACACACACACACACCAAACACACATTTTCTTTTTTTTTAAATCATTTTATTAGGGGCTCATACAACTCTTATCACAATCCATACATACATCAATTGTGTAAAGCGCATTTG